TGCACTCACTATGTAGCAATCCTCTCAGCAATTCTCCTACCTCACTCAGCCTCCCAAGTGCTGGGATTACAGGCGTGCACCACCATGCTCGGCTTGCAGTGAGGCCACTGTTGACCTGACTCTGCTGCTCATGCAGCTACCACCTCAGGAATGGTGGTGTGTCCCTACTGCCCTGGGTCCAGGGCATTCTGCAATAGTCTTCTCTGAGGGGTTCTAACTTGGGGGTTCACAGCATGTATAGGTTCCAGGTCACAGAGACCTAGGGGCCCCGTGGAAAAATCTGCATTAGGGGCAGGGCCAGCAGGGCTGGTTGGCAGGTGCACCCAGCTGTTCCGGGGGAGGCTTGGGGTGTGTGTGGGGGTGTCGGTGTCTGTCTAGGGCTCCAGGCCAACCACATGGCTCAGTAGGAGGTGTGAACTGCAGGTGGGCTGTGGGCTTTAAGTAGCTGAGCCTGCTCTGGTGTGATGAGGTCCACCTCATACTCAAAATAGATGCAGAGGTGAGAACCCAACAGCGCTGCTTTTTTTTTTTTTTTTTTTTTTTTTTTTGGTACTGGGGATCGAACTCGGGTCTGTGTGCTTGTGTGGCAGGCGGCAGAATCTTTTTTTCTTTTTCTAACAGTGCTGCTGATGGGGGCTGAACCCAGGATTGTTGCACTGAGCTACATACCCAGCCTCTTTTTAAACTTTTATTTTAAAATCTTTGAATTTTGAGACAGGGTCTTGCTAAGTCCCTAAATTGCACCACTGGGCTCAAACTTTTGATCCTCCTGCCTCAGCCTTCCAGGTTGCTAAGATTACAGGTGTGTACCACCACACCCGGCAGGAATTTTTGTTTGTAAAACCATGTCACCTGAATGTAGAGATAGTTTTATTTCTTTCTACAAGTTGGATGCCTTTTATTCCTTTTTCTTTTTTTCTTCTTTCTTTCTTGAGACAAGGCCTCACTATGGACTCCAGGCTGGCATTGACTTCATAGCAATCCTCTTGCTTGCACCTCCTGAGTGTTGGGGTTATAGGCATGTGCCACTGGCCCCTATTTGGCTTGGCTATAATTTCTATGCAGTGTTGAATGGAAGCAGTAAAAGTACAGTCTGTGGTCAGCAGTACTGTTTTACCTCCACAAGAATGAAGAGCACAATGTGCCAGAGCTGCAGGCTCTTTGGGATGCACAGTGGGAAGCAGCCCACTCACCGTGCGGCAATGAAGCCCAGCACGGGCCGCTCAGTGGCTGCACCTACATGGCCCTGGCTGAGAGAGGAACCAGGCAAGTTCTCCAGAGAGCCCAAGCCCTGGTGGGACCAGCACTGCTGTCCTTCTCCAGACCCCCTCAGGCTGTGGCCTGTTTGGAGTCAACGTACCTGTCCCATACACCCTGGGAGGGGACACTGTGACATATACTGCCCAAACTGGTCAGGCAAAACACTGGCTCTGCTTAGCTTTCCCTAAGGCTTGGCCTTCATCACTTCTGCCTAGGCACTGACCTCTGCCTCCTGTATTTTCCTTTTGTGTGTGGGGATTGATTACAGGGCCTTCACAATCAGCTGCATCCCCACCCTTTTTTAAACTCTTTTGAGTACTCAGGAGGCTGAGGCAGGAGGATTGCCATGAGTTCAAGGCCAGCCTGGACTACACAGTGAGACTCTGTCTCAAAAAATAAAAAATAAATAAAAATAAAAATTTTAAATTTTGAGACAGGATCTTACTAAATTTTGCAAGTTGGGTTAAAACTTTCCACTCTCTTACCTCAGACTCCTAAAGTTCTAGAATCACAGGCATTTTTTTGTACTGGGGGTCAGACTCAGGACCTTGTGCTTTTGAGGCAGGCATGGCACAACTGAGCTAAATCCCTAGCCCTCACCATTTTTTTGTTTTTGTTTTTGTGGTTTTTTTGGTACCGGGGATTGAATTCAGACCATTTTATTTTTTGAGTCAAAGCATTGCTCTGTAGTCCAGGCTTCCCTTCAACTCACTATGAAGTTCAGGATGGGTTAACACTTGTGATCCTCCTGCCTCAGCTTCCCGAGTGTTGAGATCACAGGCATGAACCACCATGCCCAGCTGTTCCCAGCCTTTAAAAATTATTGTTTAAAAAATTTTATTTGTTGTGATGTAATAGGATTCTCACAGAGAGAGGCAGGACACTGAGGGTTTCCCTAGGAAATAGTGTTTATTTGTGCTGGCACGTGGCTCAGTGGGTTAATACCCAAAAGGCTGAGCCTCAGACATGGCAACATGTGTTTCTCTCCTATAAACGGACACACTAACATACCACAGCCTGATTGGGTACAATCTGGGTTATAGAGCAGTGCTGGGACCACACGTGAATCTGGGAACTACCAGCCACAATGTCTTTCTTAGTTCTGAGAAGGTTCCCCTGTACCACATTCCTTCAGGGGGTGCCCGGCCACACTCCTCAGGGAAGGTTCCTGCTACAGTGAGAGAGGGTCTTCCTATGGAGCCTAGGTGGGTCTCAAACACAGCCTCCCAAATGCTGAGATTATAGGTGTGCACTACAGTGCAATCACCACAGTTGTTTTGAGGGCAGCAAAAGGTCCTTGCTTCCCCTGGGGGAACCAATTCCCCACTGGTTCTACACCAGGGCTGGCCCTGGCCGTCTGGACCAATTGCGCTGCTATGCTGGGCCCGTCCAGTGTGTTTGCCCACTGGTGCCCCTGGAAGGGACTCTGGAGACCCTGTTCTTGCTTGTGTCTGCCCCACACAACCACCCTGCCAGCCTTTTTGGCATGGCAGCCCTGGCTGTACTCAATGCAGGTGGCAGGTCTGAGGCTCTGTTCCCCAGGCCTTGGGGAACCTCTCCTTCCCTCTTGTGTATTACTGCAGGAGAGGCAGTAGATCACGGGGCTCTGTCATCACAGTTCCTCCTGACTCGTGGTCTAGCTCTGGGCCACCAGCTGAACCTTGGCTGTGCTTCTGTCTCTCAACCTGCTCCCTACTGGCTGCCTGCTGGGACATCTATGCACTCCCTGGATGGTTTCCAGCATCAAGCAGGCAGGTGACACAGCCTGCACAGGCCCTTGCGGCCACCAGAGCATCTCCCTCAGCAGTTGTTTTCCTGGGCACATTTCTTTGGAATCGTGCTGATTACACCAATTTTCATATGCAGCCAAGGGGCTGGGGATTTAGCTCAGTGGTGCCACCACCTGCCTCACAAGTGCAAGGTCCTGAGTTCGATCCCCATACCAAAAAAAGAATGCAATCAACCTATTAGCCAAAAAAGGTGGCTGGAGCCACCCCAAAAACAGTGGTAAGGGAGTTCCTAAAAGTGACTGCCCCATGTCTCCCCAAGATGCAACCTGTTGAGGTTCCAGACACAGAAGCCGTGACAGTGCCCATGGTTGGTCCAAAGCAATGACCAGGGGCCTCAGTCACAGTGTGTCTTTGGGCACACATGAAAGCAAAGGGATGTCCTGTGTCCATCAGGCAAGGGAATGGGGTGGAAGGAATGGGGCTCAATGTGGTCAGGTTCTGTGGTCAGCAACACATTTGGTCTTTGGAGTCTGCAGAAACGGCCTAGGTGGATCTGTGTCTGCGAATGTTCAAGGTGCGACTTGGGTTCAGTCCTGTAGGGAGAGTACATAGCAGCCTGGTGCCAGAGTGGCCAGGGATTGTTTCCCAGTCAGAGCACAGAAAGTGTGGGACTGGAAACACCCAGGATAAACACGTGCTCAGACAAATACCCTCCTCCAGACTCACTAGGGGACTCACTTCAGCAAAGGAAGACAGTAAACCAAGAGGAAGCCGGCAGACTCCAGGAAAGAGGACCCAAGACAGGAGGAATCAGTCCTGGGTCCATAGAGAAAAGGTCCTTCGAGAGCTGTGTGGCAGGCTAGGCAACAGCTGGTGTAGGCTGGAGGGGAAAGTACTTGGCTGGAATGTGGGAGGCTCTGGGTTTCAACCCCTCACTGCAAAACCAAAGCCAAAAGAGTACAGGCATGATTTAGGTTTTTAAAAAATGACATCAAAAAATGTTGAGTAAATTGTGCATGGTGGCACACACATGCTTGTAATCCTAACACTCTGGGAGGATGGCGAAGGATTGCAAGTTCGAGCCCAGCCTGGGCAACTCAGCAAGACCCTGTTCAAAATTTAAAAAGGATTGGAGATGTAGTTCAGTCCTCAGGCCCCGGGTTTAATCTCCAATACTGAAAATTTATAAATAAAACTTGTTAAACCTGACGTGGTGGTGCACAGGTAGTGGAACACAAATCTGAGCCCTGTTTGGTCAATTCAACGATTTAGCAAGATCCCATCTCAAAGACTAAAAATTAAAAAGGGGATGTAGCTCAGGGGAAAGGCCCCCAGTAGAGAGAAAAAAGTCGGGCGTGGTCATGCCATGCACGCCTATAATCCCAGCTAAATGGAAGACAGGTAGGAGGATCACAAATTGGGGGCCTGGGGAATTTAGTGGGAGCCTGTCTCAAATAAAATTAAAAACACAACAAAAGAGGGCCGGAGGTTTGGCTCCGTGGTTCGGCCGTCTGCCTCGTAAGCGCAAGGGCCCGAGTTGGATCCTCGGTACAAAAAAACAAAACAGAACAAAACAAACAAACAAACAAAACCGCTTTTTCCGCTGCATCTCTGGAAGCTCCATCTATTCCGAGTTAGACGTCACTTGAGGAACCTCCGTCTCCATGGCGACGGGATGCGTCCTCCGAACTCCCTGCGCAGGCGCAAAAGATCCCACTAGGGGACGCGCGCCGGACCCGCCTCCTTACGCACGTTCATCTACCCGGACGTCCCCGCTGCCCCTCTGTACCAGTTGTTCGCTCTCGTCCACTTCACCGTCAGGTGAGGGGCTCTCTCTGGGCCCCGTCCTCTCCCCAGTATGTGGCCTTCTTTGCCAGAGGGCGGTCACACAGACATAATAGAACGCCCCGGGCCGAGCTGCCCAGGCCCACCCGTCCGATCGCCACTGTATTCCCGAGTCTGCGCCGCGAATGTCACACGCGCGGGGTTTCCTGGGAGCCACCCGCCCCGCCACTTTGCCGGGCGCCGTATGCGTCATGCGCAGGCGTCCCTGGGAGCTCCCTCTCCGCCCCGTAGTCTGGGACCGCGAACTACAGCTCCCGGTAGGCAATGAGGCGGCCCAGGACCAGAGACCAGAGC